TGGTTTTTGAGCCCGGGGATCCCAGGGCCATGTTAAAGGCAGTTCTAAGTACCTTAAGCTTGCACTGCCCTCTTGGACATCAATGGGTGGTCTCTGTCACTGCTTTTTCCCTCCACCCCACCTCCCCCCTACCCAGGGAGACCAGCTGTGCTCACCCCTCTGGTCCCGACCTGCCGATTTCCAGCTTCCTCCAGTTCCTTTTTGGCCTTCTGCCAATTTCCTTCCTCAATGCAACGGCCAAATCCATTGGAGTTAAGACAATCTCTATTGTTTAGCAAAGAATTGCTTTCCCACAATGGATTTTGCATTAAAATATGCTCTGGGAGCCCCAAGGACTGGTGGGGGGAGGTTTGAAGTTAAAGTCCAGGTGCAAGGAGGGTGACACTTGGAAAAAGTAGTTATACTTGGCTTTGGGAGGACAAATTCTTTGGCCATGAACCTTGCACTGGGTGCAAACACCAGGATGGCCCCTTTGTAAGAGTGTGGTCAGTCTATGGTGTTGATTCTAGTCTGAGTGTCTCCTATGACCCCAGAGAAGTAGTCCTCACCCTGATATCCAGGGGACTTGGGCTTGATAATGTGAGGGTGCCCTTAGTTATTTAGTGCTCCAGGAGATGAGCTTTCTAGTCTCCCTGTTGTTGCTGCCCAGAGTTGAGGCTCCTTAGAGCACGAGCCCAGGGGAAGGCTCCTGTTCTGTATTGAATGATTCCGTCCCCCTGCCCATACCTATGAATGTGACCTTGTTTGGAAATAGGGCCTTTCTTGAAGGATGTTTTCAGTTAATGAATGAGGTCATGCTGGAGTGGGACAGGTCTTAATCCCTCTGAGCGGGGTCTTCTAAAGGGGAGAAGAGACAGGTGGTCAAGTTGCACAGGAACACAATCTCACTGGAAGATACACCTATAGGTCAAAGAAGACCATGTGATACCTGGGTTGGAAGAGCCAAGGAATGATTGCTCCTTAGAGCCTTCAAAGAATTGACAACCCTACCAATGCCATGAGTCCAGACTTCCAGGTTCCAGAATGACGGGAGGCTATACATTTCTGTTCTTGAAACCCTCCTCGCAGTGGTACTTTGCTCCAGCAACCCTGGGGAAGGAAGATCACTCCCATTTGTTAAGGGAAACAATTGAAGTTTTTTGTTGCCCCCCCAACCCCCGAGACTGTTAGAAAGTCTGGGTGTCTTAGAAATGTCTTAAAGAAAGTGCATCCCATGTCTGATTCATCCCCAGTGGCAATTAGGTTTGGCAAGCTGGGTGCTTCTGCAGTGGGGTCTTCTGTCTCTGCAGTGGGGTCTTCTGTCCGCAGGATAGGTGATCAGAGAGCCCCATGGGTGGCCATGAAGTGCAGAGAGCAAATATGAACCGGGATTGCTACGGCCTTTAATAGAACGGCTGGGGAAACAGAAAGGTGCTTGCTTAGCCCACCACACCTGCAGGGAGAGTGAGCAAGACTTACCCAGTGCTGTGCCACTGTGCCAATCTGCCCACCTAGGGGGACTTGTGCCTTTTAGGCAGCTTCTCTACCCTGCAGCAGCAAGTGGGCATCTTAGGGCATCTCTGCCTAGCCTCCCACCTACAAGGCATGCAGACAGAGTGTAGGGTGGGGTTGCAAGAGGTAAACATGCTGCAGGGATAAAGCAGGCCCCTCTATCCTAGTCAGCTACCACCCCAAGCCAGGCACTTGTGATCAGGCATGGCTCACTACCTGAGCTGCACCTTCATAAAACCAGAGGGTTTGTTTTCTAACTGATGCCAGCATGTCTAAGCCAGGTGGAGTGGGGGTGGGGTGAGGGCTTGAGGGAACTGCTGATTGGCTAGCCAAGCCCCATGGGAGGAGCAGCAGTGGGAATCTTTGTCTTTGGCAGCTAGGGGAGCCAGGGATTGTGCAAACATGCAGCTTTCTGATTGGGAAGCCTGCCTATTTTTGTGGCTTGGGCTGCTAACCTCAAGGTCCAAGTTCAAAACCAACTTGGGAGAAAGATGGAGCTTTTTACTCCTGTAAAGAGTTATAGTCTCAGAAATTCAGCGAGGCATTTCTATCCTGTCCTATAGGGTTGCTATGAGTCGGCATTAACTGGCCGGCAGTGAGTTTGTTTTTTGTGTTTAATGCAGATAGGCTGGCCCAGAGAGTAGACTTTGAAGGGAAATTGCTAATATTTTAAAGGTTTCCAAACAGCTCTTAGGGTCAGAAAGTACTTGGGAAGCTCTGGGTACATTATCTGCAAAGGAGAGAAGATGCTTAAACAATATTTGTGGAGGAAAGCAGCTTCTTCTACATAAAGGACAGAGCGACTCTTACAAGTTCACTCCATCCTCTCTCCCACCCACTCCTGGTGGGGATGGAGCCGGCTCCAGCAGCCATATGGGAATGCAAGTGTAAACGACACAGAGGTTTTGTTCTGGAAACTCCCCACATCCCAAAGGAACAAAAGCACAAAAGGGTGACGGTTTATATGTTTAAGGGTATTTATGGTCTGCCTGGCAAAACAAAGCAAAACCGGGAAACAACCTGACAGTCTGTCAAGAAGGTAACGGATTCTATAAAGGGAGGCACTTCTGTTCTGTGGACTATGCAGTAATTAAAAAGGATGAATCAGTTAAACAGTGAGCTGTTGATCTGGAGTGAGGGTCATGATAGAGAGTTTAGGTAGGGAAAAAATTGCAGAGGGTGAATATAATAGGTATAGCATTTTTCAAAGGAGTAGCCAAACAAACAGCCCTGTGTATCTGATCATAATTAAAGCTTAGTGGCGACACCTTGGGTTGGAAGGAGTGGGCGAGGCTCAGGAAGGGAGAAGGGGACAGAAGAAAACAAAAGGAAATGAAAAATAAAATCCCGGAACAAAGTTCAGTGGACATTTAACACATGAGAGCTCACCTATATTGTTATTGCAAATGTGTACAATAGTGTATGCAAATAGATACAAGCTAGAGGGGTTCACTGGGAATGGGAATGTCGACTTAGATGATGGGACCATAGCAATTTTTTGTTTTGGATTTCTGCTGTAAATTTAACATCACCTTTATAACAAACTTATATTTTAAAAAGACAGCAATTGGGTAATGACTGGTGAAATTATTCCCATTTAGAAGTGATTATGTCATGAGTAATTTAAAAAACAAACAGAACCCTCACAGTATCTTGACAGGAAACTTTGCTAAAGTAACCAGCAGAACCCCCAAGCACATCACTTCAGCGAAAACCTCCAGGCATACTGGCAGCGTTTAGATCCCCAAGTGCAAAGTCTCTCCTCAGGTAAATCTGGTTTCTGGGGAGCTATTACCAAGATGAGGAGGCAGCCATTAGAGACAATAAACTTCACAATGACCTCGGCATTTTCAAAATGAAGTCATTTTGTTTATTTGTCTACGTATGCTCCTTTCATTCAACTCAAAAGAACCAGCCTTTAAATACGCTTTTCTTACTCTTCCGTATAGCTCTTGTGGTTTTATGAGACACGAAGAATTGCCACATCAGCAAGAACCTCTGCATGCTCTGTGCTGTTTGCCGTGCTCTCTGATCCAGCATTCAGCAGGCCGGTAGAGAGGAAGGGGATGCAGTGCTTGCTGCCTGATCTTGGGTTCCTTGTGTGCTGTTTCAAGAGCAGGTAAGTGTCTCCTCCAAGCATCCAGGGAGCAGCGGGCATCGCTGGGCTGCCCTGGCCCAAGTCCTTCACCCCACTTTGAATGACCAAGCTCTCCTAAGAGCCAGGGGACTCCATCCCAAGGGGTACCATTATTAACAGCCATGTTTTCAAATACTTAGCTTCAATTGTCAGCAATGCCTGGAGTTCTCTGAAAACACTGTGTGTGTGTGTGTGTGTGTGTGTGTGTGTGTGGCGGTGGTTATCTTGGAGCACGATATTCATGATCTTAATTTTAAGTATATTTATTTCATAATAATACAAGGGGTGGCATCAACCAAGTTTATGGGGGAAAAAAACCTGTGATCTTTTCATTCCATTTTCCACGAGCTTTTGCAGCCCCTTTGAAGAGAAGTCATCTGAGAAGGCGCTAAGTCCGCTTCTGCTTCTGACGTGAATGCATTCTTTGTTGGGTTTCCCTAAAGACATTCAATTCTTCAAAACCCACTGCCGTCGGTCATTGCTGACACATGGCGACCCTCTGTAAGATTTTTGAGGCTCCAAATATTTGTGGGAGATGGACCGCTTTCTCTTAAGTCCTTCTAAACCATTAAGGGAATTTCAAAATCAAACAACGTGTGTGTGTGTGTGTGTGTGATGTGGGTGAAAGTTTACAGAGCAAATTGGTTTCCTTTCCTAACCTTTTTGCGGAGTGGTGGTTACTATTCATGTTTTTGTAGTTGATAAGTGGTTTATAGAAGTGCCCCCACCTCCTACCCACCCCCATATCCCCCACCCCACCCTCAACATTGTTGCCGGAAGAAATGACAGATGGTGTGAATACCTTTGTGAAAAGAGAGGTCTATTTAAAGTTACTCAGGTGTGTACATAAAACGTGAACATTAGGGAACATGAGAAGGCAAAGATGTCATCTAAAATTATTTACGTAAATACATGGGATATTTCAGAGACGGAAACATCCGACACTCGCCCTGCTTGTGGGGAGAAAAAGTTGTGTGTGGAAACTCTCCCTTCAGCTGAAGTCTGTTCTGGGAATCTGGGGCGGGGGTGGGGGTGGAGAGGAGAGTGGGCAGCCTTTTCTTACAATATGATTTTGGGCCCTCTACTGAGTTTTTATTTTTTAATATATATTTAGTGTAATTCCTTGTTCTTATTTTGAATAAGTTCAATGGAGGACTTAGAGGACCCTTCTGGGAAACAGAGGCTCAAGGGCACCTGGCTCGGGTCTTCCCATTCATATCCACAGAGCGCACCAGCAGTTTCATCCTAGGGACCTGTTTGGATTTGGGCGATGGCGTGACAGCTCTGGGCATGGGCAGGGTAGAAACCCTGGGGTCAGACAAAGTCAGGGCGGAACCCCAGGCTCGGACGGACACTTTCTAGCCTGGTCACTTTCTGTTTCCCGAGCTTCCATCACCTCTTAACACCCATCTCCAGGGCTTGGCTGGGGAGTTTCGCGAAGGGCAGGACACAGTTCTTGTATCTAGTCCCTAAACATTGATTGCATAACCCCGTGGGCCAGGATCAGAGAGTCCAGGGATGACTGCGCCATCGCCTTGCGCTCTGGGCGAGCGTCTAGGCCCAAAGATAGAACAAAGACTAGCGTGGATACCTGGGCGTGAACTGGGTCGTGCTGATGGATGGCTCACTGCTCCGTGGTACCTTTCAGACATGAGTGCGTTTGGGGGCTGGGAGTGACTGAGCTGGGACAAGGCACTCTTTTTGGCTCACCTGCTCCCACCTCTAGGGCTACCTGCCAGCTTATTTTACTGTGAGCCCGAGGAGAACCAGCAGGCCCAGCAGCACAGGCGGCTGGTCCAGGCCGGCCCGGGAGGCCCCGGCCCCCTCCAGCCAGAAGTCGCAGCGCTTGGCGGAGCACAGCTCCCGGATGAGGCGCCACAGGACGCGCTGGTGCAGCCGGCTGTCCTGCTGGTCCCGCGGCGGCGCCGAGAACTCCGCCTGGTTGGCCGCTTGGGTGGCGTTGATGCAGCGGGTGACCAGCATCTCCCTGGTCACGTTGGCGTCCGAGCAGCCGTCGTAGTGGATGCCATCGGGGAACTGCCAGTAGTGGGCCTCGTAGTACCTGTTGCCGTCCGCGCCTAAGTCGACATCCAGCTTCTGGCCGTGCCGGACGAAGGCGCCCGGGCGCGTCACGGAGACGCGGGCCTCGGTGACGTGCGCGGTGCTCGGCAAGGTCTTGCGGTTCCACTTGATCCGGTGCTTTATGCCCCTCGCCGGGACCACGGAGAGGTGGCCGAAGAGCAGGACGCAGGCGAGGGCCAACCACCCAGCTCCCAGATGCTTCCTCATGGTGCGGGGATCTGCCAAAGAGAAGGGCAAGACATCCTGAAGGTCACGTTCCCTGGTGGTGAGCCAGTCTTCCCCGCCCTCCGTTCCATTTCCCCCCAAAGCACAGAGCCCAGAGGCCGCACGGGATCATGGGGACCCCGTGTGGGCCGGGGCAGAACTGTCCTCCGGAAACGTCTTCCTGGGCTGGGTCTGGGGGAGGTGGATCAGGGGGCCTTTCTTCTTGCACCTGGTGAATGATCTACGTCCTCCAATCTTCTGATTAGCAGTCGCGCAGGTGAAGCATTTGCACCGCGGTTTCCCCAAAGCACAGGCGCGAACGTTCCCATGCTTGGGGCGCAGGAGGTTAACTCAAGTGGCTTCCCTGCTGCCGGGAATTATGTCCCTGCTGGGCAGCGAACCTGGCTTTCTCAGGCCGATAAGAAACTGTAACTGGCAATTATACACGCCTTTGAATATCCCTGGGAAGATAAATGAAGAAAGACTGGATCCCTGTAGGTTTCCTGCGTACTCATCAGCCCCCACCCCAATCAAGCGGTTCCCAGAGAAAAATACAGTCGAAGAGTTGCTTCTGGGCATAGATTTAAAAATACATAATCTTTCCATTTATTTAAATCTTTTCCTAATGTATAGAAAAACTTTTACATTAAATAATACTCTGAGTGAGAGGGAACTTCAGTTTGTGGGGGGAAATGGAATGAAATGGTTGGGGAACTCCCCCACCCCCCACTAACTTGTTGAAGCCCCCTGTACACACAGAAACGTGCACAAAGCACATGTGAGATGCTTGAGGGTTTTTTTTCTCATACTCGATTGCCTTTTTGGTCGTCTCTCTCTATTTTTTCTATTATTCTGAGCTGCCACTGTCCCAGAACCTTCTCCTATCCACAAAGCTGATCCTACAGGACGTTAGGAATGGAGGGTGGGAGAGAGACAGAAAGATGGAGATAGGAAAACGGAGGCAGAGATAGATAGATCGATAGATCGATGATTAGTAGGCCCCTGCCTTCCCCAGGTTCTGTCAAGATGTGTTACAGGCATCCTTTTCAGTCTCCTCTCACCCCAAAACCCCTGGTCCCCACCCCCAGAGCTGAGCACTTACTACTACCTGTCAGCCATTGCATTAAATCTTTCCCTGACTGTGCCTAATTTACTTCCCACACGGGGTAGATCCACTCTTGTCACTATTTTATAAGTTCAAGTGGTATTGGCATTCAGAGAATGTAAGTCACTTGCCCTGGGTACATGTGTAATTGTGGGCGGCAAAGTTAAGCCCAGCTCTGGCTGAGGTGGTCCCCACGACCCACCTCCCCAGGGCCTCAGTGCTAGTTTGGGGCTGTCAAGGGCCGGTGCCCACACTTCTGACTCGCTGAGTAGGAAGGGCAGACCCGATGGCCCCGGAACAGAGAACAAATGCAGGAGGCATTCAGAGGCAATGAGATGAAGGGGGACAGATGGATCTGGACTAGCACTAAGCCCCCCCCCCCCAACCTCCCCCACATACCCACACCTTACTTGTTCACATCTAACTTCTAAAACGACAATAGCTATTGTAGACAGCTGCCGCCCAGGGTCACATGTCCAGGGCATTGCAGCACCTGGACCTTTGTCCTGAGAGTCTGGGACACAGAAAGAGTTGCTACAGTGGAGCATGCTTAGGCTCTGAATCCACAGGATGCTCTAGCTGGGAGAAAGCTTCGCTTACTTAGCTCCCAATAGCCTCTCCCCTTATCCATCTGCAGCATTCTTGAAGGCATTTATTTTGTATATGTCTTTTTGAATGTTCAAGGATAGTGAGACACTGGCAAATAGGTAGAAAAAAAAGATACAATACAGCCCGGCCCATGTCTGATCTTCTGGAAGCATCCAAAGGCTTCCCCTGACTTTCCTTGGCTGTGGGCATCCCCAGACTTTCACCCCACCCCCACCCCACTAATCACTGTGAGTTCACCCTGGCTTTTTCCAAAGTGTGCAGCAAGCATTCCTTAATCTCCTAAGTAGAGCCCCACACCCCATACCTCTTGGTGGAAGACATCTTCAATAGGAATAATAACATAATAGTTCATTACAGGCTTTTGCTGCCAGCAAGCCAATTCTGACTCACAGCGACCCTATGGGACAGAGTGCATTTGCTCCATGGGGTTTCCAAGGCTTTAAATCTTTATAGGCGTAGACAGCCTCGTCTTTCTTGCACTGAGAGGCTGGTGGGCTCGAATCACTGATCTTGTGGTTAACAGCTCAACGTTATGCTAGGTCCCAGAGCTCCTCATGATGGGCTAGCCACGTAAAATAACACAAAGACCTTGCCAAATAAATTGGTTCTTATAGGCAAGGACTGGAAAGCAAAATAGAATCCCAATCAACCGACCCTAATATGATATGTATATACACATACATATTAGACCAGTGATGCCTAAACACTTTTACAAATCTTCCCCAACTTGAGACCCATCCCCCAAAATGAGAGTAAAGAACTCTGTATGATTTGCACTCTAGGGTAGAGACCTGACTAGAACTGCCCCCAGAATCAGTTGCACAGCACTGCCTCCCCACGTACCTAGGCTTGCAGCACGGCGCACTTGTCTCAGAAACCACCAGCTGGCGCTCACCTCCAGCACAGCCTCTCTCTGGCCAGCGCCTGCCCGGCTATATAGGAGCTGCAGGGGGAGGTGGCCTGCCGGCTGCTCTCCAAATATGGCTAGCCTCCCCTCCCGTGCAGGACCAATCACAAGTTCCCGGGCTGCTCCGTTGCCCCAGCAGGAGGGAGCGGCTTATATTCCTTACCAACAAAGACCACTTAAAGATCTCTTTGAAGTTCAGAAAGGCTTGGGAGGGACCTTAGAGGAATGGTTTCTGACCAGTTGGAAAGAAGTTCTTTCTCGTGCATACCTGCAACGGAAAGTGGCTTAAACAAGTCCTCCTGGACCTGCATACTGTCCTGCACCCCCACACCAGCCCCAGACAGCCTCTGTGAGGAGGGTCACTCTGGGAAAAGGCCATCCAGCGGCAGGGGCCCACAAAGAGCGAGGGGTGCGCTTTCATGGGGCAGGTGCAGAGGGCTACTGTGGACGGGACAGGTAAAGGAGGGCCTCCTGCTAGGCAGAGCGACTCAGGCCAAGGTGGGAATCCCTGAAGGACTGAATGAACCCAAAGATTTGGAAATGTGGGGGGCGGGGTCCAGAGACAGAGATGCTGGGACTGAGAAGGGTCTCCTAGGAGGGCCTGTCCCTCTGCGGGAGGCCTGAGGACACGCTGCAGTGCCAGCCTTCCCGAGAGGTTTACATGGCCAGAGGGAATGCACGTATTTATGGGGTGACGATCCTGGGCCTCCAGGAACCCTGGTGCCACGGTGGCTTAAGTGCTGGGCTGCTGAGCTGTTCACACCCACCAGCCCGCCCCAGGGAGAACGATGAAGCGGTCAGCAAAGAGTTGCAGGCTCCTGAAGCCATAGGAAGCAGCCCGACTCCGTCCTCTAGGAATTGAGTGGCTGATCCGGGGATGACCAGCAGATGGCGAGAGAAGAATTTACAAAGAGTTTTCCAGAAGGAACGGATAGCAGGGTGGGGGTGGGGGCTTAGCGCTTCCGTGCTGTTTTTGAATATAGGGCCTCCTCTCTCTCTCTCTCTGTGTGTATGTATCGGTTTATTGGGTTAGGTTCTCATATTCCTTTTAGAATCACATCCTGCGCTTGCTGAATTCGTACGCCCACGTGCACATGGCAGGCACGGGAACCTACTGGTAGACAAGTTGCACAAAGAAGAAAAAAAAAACGCCCAATATTTCATTACCCAGAGGCAGGAGTCAGTACGATTTTGTTCATTAGATGTTTGTGGTCCTCGTGAGGGAGCGCTCGGGTTGTTTATCGTGGAGACAACCCAGATTCTCTGGTCCATCCCGCTCCTTCCAATCGCGGTGTCATGGGACCCAGATAGGCTCAAGGTCACCAGCCAGTGGGGCCGAGCCGCCTCTGTGGGTCCATCGCCCGGTTCAGAACGCGGTGTGCCCGTCTACCCTGCCCTCTCCCCACTCCCTGCCGCCTCCCAAGGTGAGGGTTTCCCGGCATCGCTTTGCCCAGGGAGGGAGGTGGGAGGTTGGTTAGAGCTGATGGGACCACAGATTCCGCTTGTCCCCGAACAAAGCCTGGCCCCGAGGAGCGTGGACGACTGTCACTGCGCAGGACAGCTGGCAGAGCTCTGACAGTGGCAAGCGAAACAAGAAAATGGTTCACAGAGGGAGGGAAGGCCTGCTCCAATCCTGCCTGGCACCAGTGCCCTCCCATCCCCCACCCTTTGCCCCGAGGAAACAACCGAGGACTTAGTGTGAGAGCGTGGATTTGACACAGCAACAGAGAGGCCAGGGCAGAGTGAACTGTGCTTTCTGGAATGGATGATCGCCGGGGGATACATGTGTGAGAAAACAGGATGAATTGCTAACACAGGGCTGTGTGCACCATGGGACAATGGCTCATGAGCTATTGCAGCTGAATGTATGGCCTTCAGGCTGAATGTATGGACTTGAGCCCTGGTGGCCTTGGGGTGCGAACCCCAAGGTCAGCATTCAAATCACCGGCCAGCTGCTCCACAGGAAGAAGAGATTATCTACTCCTGTGAAGCATTACGGTCTCAGAATCTCTCAGGCGTTCTACTCTGTCCTATAGTGTTGCTATGAGTTGGCATCGAGAGAGAATGAAGTTGGTTAATAGGTGGAGTTCTGGATGCACACATGGGTCCTTGGGATAACGTGCCTTATCCTAAGGGTATTGTATGATGCGCTCTCTCTCTCACACCCAGGTTCAAGACAGACAATGCAACATGCCCAAAGCCTTCCCTTGGCCCTGTCAGTTCACGAGCCCACTTCCCCCACAAGTAGCCAAGGTCCTCTTTCTTCTACAGGTTGTTTGGCCTAGAATTAGACTGAATGTAATCTTTGGTGTCTGGCCCCTTCTGTTCAAGTTACATTGGTGAGCTTCAGCCATGTGGTGTGTGTGTGTGCCGTTACAGATGGCTCATTCTCTTCAGCGAGCACTCCCAAAGTCCTGATCCATTCATTGCCTGCTTGGTGGGCATTTGTGTGACTTCTGGTTGAGGCTCTTGATGTCCTTGCTGTCATGAGCCTTGGCGTTTAGTGACTGTATCATCACATTTCTGTGTGCCCATACCAGGAAGTAGACTTGCTGGGTTATACTTATCTGCGGGGGACTTTGATTCTATGACATCTCTTTGTGCAAATCGTCTAAGTCACCTTCCTCTACAGTTATCGGATTCTTCGCTCCCCAAGTACAATGTGGACGTCCTCTCTGTGGCTGCCCGCAGCACGCAGGCTACCATGGCTGCCAGTGGGGTGTCATGTTGTTCATGTGTTTGAGCACACAAGTTAAAGGACACATTAGTGCTTCATTCCCACCTGTTGGCCCTGCACCTAGTACCGTGTCTTCCAGGCATGTTGGGTGGGAATCCAGGCAGCTCATGTTGCCTCCTGACACTCTTGTGTACCCATGATCAGGACAAGGACAGTGTTATCAGAACTGCTTCTGGGGCCAAGCTGCCAAGGTAGGCTGTGTGCCAGAGGGCAAGCCAAGCACAGCAAACCTCAGTAGACTGGGATGTATAAAAGCAACAAGTCAAAATTCGACAACCATTATACAGTGGGAACTTACTTTGTTTGTTTTGAATCAAGGGCAGCTTGGTGAAGACCCATTATGTGGTAGCTGAAACTTTGTGACATACCAACAAGAACAAACAAGCTCATTGTCATTGAGTCCATCCTGACTCAGAGCACCCCTATGCGATAGGGTAGAACTGCCCCTGGGTTTCCAAGACCATACATCTGTTTTCTCATACAGTTTGATTGGCACATAAGCCACATAGCATACAATTCAATAATTCAGGGCTGTCAACCTTTATGGGGGTCAGAAGCTTCATCTTTCTCCCACAGAGGCTTAAAATGGTTTCAAACGGCTGACCCATGGGCAACCCACGATGCCACTGGGGCTTCGTCTGTGACATACAGTTGTCTAGAAAGGAAACACAAGCTCACAGCATGGTCCCAGCTCTGCCCTGGTCAGACAGTTAGTGTTCAGAGTCTGGCTCTTGGGGTGATTCAGGCGTATGTGAGCAGCAGCGGGGAGAGGAAGGAGGAGAGGACTCTTGTCCTGGTCTATTGGGGATCACAGAAGGCAGTTCTGTGTCTCAGACATCGCTTAGTGTTTATGGAGTAGAACATTTATAAGCGAGAGGATCGCAGGCCCCTGAAGGTGTAGGATGGGTAGCTGAAGCCTGTGCTTTAAGATGATACATTGGAGACCCTTCCCCCTTTGGTCTGGAATTGAACTTAGCCCTGTGCTAGAATGATCAACCACTGAAGATCAGAAGGGGGGCAGCATTTACCCAAAGACAAAGTTCAGAGGGCCAGGAAAGAAGGAGGAGAGGAAACAGGAAACAGGAAGTGGGACAGGGGCTGGTCCATTGAGGGGATCGCCATGGATGAGTGAGTGATAGAGTGTGCCAATGGTTACATGTAAAACTAGGATCTACTCTGTGAACCTCCACCTAACTCACAAGAAAAGCTCTCAAAAGACGACCTGTCTGTCAAGATTGTCCAGAAAGGAGAGGGCTGGGAGGGGTAGAAGTACAGGCTGAAAGTGCACAATCCAGGACAGGCTGGGCCGCCATTTTGAAGTTTCTCATGCATCCTCTCTGCTATTTTCTTCGTCTCTGATGTCTTATCTAAATAATAATAATACTGAAATTAACCTGACAATTTGATCTGAAATAGACTTTCCCTGATAAAGACAAAAATGTCCAAAAGGAGAAAGGCCTTCCCTGGAAGGGGAGGGTGGTGTTTGCTGGTGGGGTGAGAGGGGACAGCTTTTGTGTGGGAGCAGAAAGCCCCTGGGCATGATTCCTGCGTGGCTTTAGAGAGCGGGTGAGAGCGGGAGTGGCAGGTTCTAAGCTCCATCCCACTACTCCTCTGCAGGCAGTTCCCAAGAGCGCCCCAGCTTCCATCTCAGAGGCTCACAGGGGGATTGCCAGGGTGTCTTGGGAGGAGGTGGAAGTCCACCCCAAGAACCAGTGTTCTCATCAGAGCGTCACCGCAGCATCCCCCGTGTTCGGGCTGCTGCTGAAGAACCGGCTTGGGCACAGCCTGGGTGGGTACATTCACCAGGAATCCTGGAGCCCTGCTGGCATAGAATTGGGGCTGCTCACTGCAAGGGCAGCAGTTTGAATGGCCCAGCAGCTCCATGGGAGAAAGGAGAGGCTGTCTACGCCTGTAAAGATTTGCAGTCTCGGAACCCCACGGTGGGGGGGGGGCAGTTCAACTCTGCGCTGTAGGCTCTCTGTGAGCCCAAATCGGCCCCCCAGCACTGGCTTTGAAGATAAGCAGGGACTTGTGTTTAGTGAGCAATCCGAGTGTCACATGTTTCTCACCGGGTTATCTGGGAAGGGATTTTAAATGAACAGGGCTTTGGTTTTAAGGAAGGTGCTGTGGGACTTCGAGAGAAACCAACGCCAGTCTGACCTAGGAGCAGAATCGTTGAAGTGGCGACAAACATGGGAAATCAGTTTTGACAGACCAGTAAGGAAACCTCACCCACTGGGTAATTCAAAGCTG